CAGCGTCATCCGAGCCATGAAAAGACCAGCCACGGACTCACCTATATTCATTCGATAGAGTGCCTGGGCCCCACTACCCAGAGGCCCGGCAATAGTGAGGATCCACTGGGAGGCCCCAGCACAGTGAGGAGTCCTGTCCATAGGCCACAGGCGTGTTACCGTGTGGCACTCCAACCATGTTGCATAGAGAGGTGCCACCCGTATAGGCACACCTCAAGTCAGAGAGGAGCCCGCCGTGGTAGCACTCGAGGCGCGAGAGATAGAGGCGCAGCGGAGTGGGCGGGCGCGCGGCCGTTAGCGGTTCCCCTCCACCAACCGTCACCGTAGCGGTAGTCCCCGGGGCCGCAGTCTCCCTGGGTCGCAGCCCGCGTGACCCGGCCCCCGTTTGCGCGCTCGCCCCTCCGCCGGCGCAGTCACCGCGCGGGGCGGCCGCCCGTGAGGAAGCTACAACGAATAAAGCTCCGAGACACAGGCGCCCTCGTCGACACCTGGACGGGCGGCCCTGGCCGGGAGCGGCGGCCCGCGTGCACCGTGAGCAGCGAGCGGCAGAGGCGACCTCCGGCCCGGCCCGCACCAGCCTCCCTGCAGGCGCGGCATGACCCTGGTCTGGCACTCCCGGGATGCTTCTTGAGCCCCTTCGCCGGCGGTTACCTCGGAGGGACGGTTGTGGCCACACCGACATCTATTTTGCAAAGTAATCATTGTTTATTCTTGTGGCGGCGGGGCCGAACACGCTTATTTATTTTTCATTTTCTCAGCAAGCTTTTACCCAGCACTTGTCCAGCAAAACAACTCGGTAACCGTTTCGAAGCAGCACCGCCCGGTCAGGAAATCTCCGCCCGAGCCGCTCGCGGAAGCCCGCCTTTGCGTCGTCCCTCCTTACATGCTGTGAAGACTGTTGCTCCTCCCTGTAACCACCAGTGTGCACAGAACTCCACTCGGGAAACGTCTTGGCCCAGCGATGCAAAGAACCGAAGTGTCAAGGTTTTATTTCTATTGCTAGACGGTCGGGGTCTCCCCAACAACTCGGAGCCGCCCCGTAGTCAGCTCACGCGGACCCCCTAGTGCTCGCCCTTCGCTGCCCTCTTCCCGCCTGTCCAAGCGCTTTGTTGAGTAAGAGTCCACCCGATGTCATTGCTTCTGCAGGTGCAGCTCGTGGGTTCAAAGAGGAGACCGAGAAAGGAAGGGCGGTCTAGCCTCGGGTTGTATTCCGACAGAGCGGTTGGAAGTCCTGGAGGATGCTCAGGGCTCCCCAGCCATGAGGACCTGTCCCTGGCGTGACCTGATTCACTCAGTTCCCCTCTCCCCTGGCGAAACAGCCCTTCCTTCATCATAGGAGTGGGTTTTGCTACTTTTGTCGCCCTGGCCAATGGAAGCCCAGTTCCCAGTCCGCTGACACTGGGGGGCGGAGGGGGGGGGGGGACCGGCAGGGTGTCCTCTCCGCAGACAAAGGTTGAGAACAGGCCAAACCTCTACAGCCACCTGAGCCTGGTGCAAGGCGGCAGGGGTGGTTTGTCGGTGTCACCTCTCGTCTCCCACTAGAGGGAGCCCTTGCTCTAAGCAGCTGACATGCCACCGGCGCCTCCCAGGAAAGGACTTGCTGGGCTCGCTTTTTACTGGGCAGAATTAAGGCACCCATACTTGGGGGCCAAAGGAGGCTTTTTTCCTGAGGGCCACCTCGTGATTTTAACGGGCACAAAGAAAACAACCCGTTGGCCAGTTCAGGCTGAGTGGTAGCAGTACCTCTGACTTGAGGCAGGTGCCTCTCTGTGACCTCCCTGTGCCTCCGTCTCCTCATCTTAAAAAATGGGGAGCCCTGACCGGTTTGGCTCAGTGGATAGAGCGTCGGCCTACGGACTGAAGGGTCCCGGGTGCGATTCCAGTCAAGGGCATGTACCTTAGTTGTGGGCACATCCCCATTGGGGGGTGTGCAGGGGGCAGCTGATCGATGTTTCTCTCTCATTGATGTTTCTAACTCTCTATCTCTCTCCCTCTCTGTAAAAAATCAATAAAATATATTTTTTTTAAAAATGGGGATAATAATGGCACCTAGGGCATAGCAGGGGGGCGAGTGGGGGGGGGTTGTCAGTTAACACATGTAAAATGTCCCGAACAGTTCTTGACACGCTTTAATAGCTATTGGCTATTACTAGCACTGATACTGGGTGGGTCCCTTATATTCTGTTGCTTTGACCCTGTGGAACTTGATCACCAACTGTAGGATTAAATTGCTGACCAAGCCCTGTTTATTTTCAGAGCTGGAAGAGCCTCTATTATCCTCATAATAAATAGAATTTGAGAGAGGCTGCAGCGAATGAAGCCTATAAAAAAGAAGGCATGTCGAAGATTCAGGTAAAGTAGGTGAACTAAGGGAATTTGGGAGACATTATTCAATGGCCTGTGGTATGCACTGTACCTTTCCCCCCCTTTGCATGGTGTTGGGAGCGAGGGTTGGGTAGTGTGGAAGCACACACCATAGCCTATCCTCCCAGGAAAGTGCTGGCTCTTGGACCCTACTGGCTCTAACACTTGCTAATGAGGTGACCTGGGACAGGTTACTTAATTTACTTATGTCTTCATTTCCTCGTCTGGAAAATATGCAAAATAATAGGATGCACTTTTTTAAAGATTTTTTAGAGAGAGAGCAAGGGAGAGAAACATTTATGTGAGAGCAAAACATTGATTGGCTACGCTCCCCCTATTAGGGATTGAGCCTGCAACCTGGGCATGTGCCCTGACCAGGAATCGAACCCAAAATCTTTTGGTACACCAGACAACATCCAACCAACTGAGCCACGCTGGGCAGGGCAATAGCACTTTTAAGAACATTCTATAGATTCATTGAGCTAACACATTAATAATGTCTAACAATAGGAAATTACTAATCCAATTTAGTATCATTTTATTATGCTTTGTGAATGTGATACCACCTGAGATTCAGAGTAGATGGCAGAAGAAACAGTAAAAGGGAATTTGCTCCTGAATTCATTCAATCAACATAGTCAGTACAGGCACCAGGAACAGAAAGATGGATACTATCTCACACAATTCAAGCAGTTCAGTAGGTATGTTTTATGCTTTCAAAAAATATGAAATAGAAGCCCTGGCTGGGTGGCTCGGTTGGAGCATCATTCTGTGTACCAAAAGGTTTTGGGTTCGATTCCCAGGCAGGGCATATACCTAGGATGTTGGTTCCGTCCCTGTCAGGGTATGTCCAGGAAGCAGCTGATCAATGTATCTCTCAATATTGATGTTTCTCTCTTTCTCTCCCCCTGCCCATTCCTCTCTCTAAAATCAATAAAAACATATCCTTGGGTGAGAATTTAAAAATATATATATATATGAAATAAAAAAAGAAACTGATGTCTTAAATCTTTAGATATTCTGGTACTTCATCAGACCCATGGATGGCATTTTGAGGGAAATGTTACAAAAATGTTGACAGAATCCTCAAAGACTACCTTGTACTTCTTCCTTCTCTTGTATAGAAAATCTGCCAAGACGAGGAGGGTGACCCAGGGGAAGCCATCTTCAGGGCCGGGTAAGAAAGACTGGAGGTTTTGTTCAGCTGATGGCTCCCCACCTCAGCAAAGACTACCTGTATAGGGCAGCAAACTTGGTCCTCTCACTGTCAATCCTACTTCCTTCCCAGATTATTTAAGATGCTGAGAACTCAGGGTGTGTAATTTTTAAATGTCACATCCAAAGTTCAAGAAACAAGTTAATAAGGCCACTTAAGACAAAAAACTATGAAGTGAGCAATTGTAGCCAACTCCTTCAAATGTGGCCAAAATGATATAAAGACCAAGTGATACCAAATAACACTTCATCCCAACCTCCCTCCTTATCAAAATGACCCTCTTCCCAATACTGTCCTCCTCTGAGTATGTAGAGAGATGGTTATGCTCCCAAAGTGAGTTCTTAATGTTCTGTCTTCCAGTATGCCGGCTATGCCTCCAAGAACCTGGGGATCCTGAAAAATTAGGGGAATTTCTTCAGAAAGACAATCTCAGCGTGCACTATTTCTGTCTTGTGAGTATAAGGCCCCCTTTGCTTTGAATAGCTCATGGATTTTGCTATACAGTCTGTTCTCTGTTTTTGTATCCAGCCTCAGATTCACAGCCCTGTTTGTTTTCCTTAATAGATTTTTTTTTGAATAGTAATATACATACCTGGTATAAAATCTTAACAATATAAAAATATATACAATAAAAAGTCTCTTCCCAAAACAGTATTCCCCATCTTTCTCCTTTTCCATATATATATATATATATATGTAAAATCCTAATATGTAAATAGACCGAAAGGTAGAACAACTGAACAACCGGTGACCACCAGGGGGTGCACGTGGAACATGGCGGGCGACAGCCACAGCGGGATGGTGGAGCAGGTGAGTGGAGAGCGCCAGACCAAGGCAGGGCACCGGTCACTGTCATCGGGGCAAGCCTCTGGTGGTTACTAAAAATTCTTTGCTCCCGTGCCACGGTCGCTCCCGTGCCACGGTCCCACCCAGCACTCGCACCCACTGCCAGCGCCGGAGCCACCATTTGCACCCGCTGCTGGCACCCAGTGCCGGCCCCAATTGCTGGGCACCGTCAGCGGGTGCAAGCAGTGGCTTCTGGCCCTAATCGCCCCTTAGGGTTTTTCCACCTCCCCCTGCTCCTGAGGGGCGATCGGGCAGCAGCTGACACTCTCACTCCGCTGACGGTACCATCCCCGCTTGCACCCGCTGCTGGGTGCTGGCCCCAATTGCTCAGCAGGTGTGAGTGGGGCCGGCATCATCAGCTCATGGGAGTGACGTTGGCAGGAGCAGGGCTGCGGCAGACAGAACCAGGGACGCAGCAGAAGGGGCCAGGCGGGAAGGGCCGGGGTGGGGGTGCAGAGGATGAGCTGAGACCTGCCCCTGTGCCCACAGCAGCCTCACATCTCAGTTCCTTTCAAGGTGCACGAATTTGTGCATTGGGCCCCTAATGTTATATATAATGTATGTCCCCATGTAAACACTGAATCAAAATAAATATTCCATCATCCTACAAAGTTCCCTCCTCCCCTTCCAGTCAGTCCCCTCAGAGATAATCACTGATCTGTAGATTACTTTTGCCTATTCTTATGCTTCATATAAATGGAATCATACAATTTGTACTCTTTTGTGTCTGGCTTCTTTCACTCAATGCAGTGTTTTAGAGATTGATCCATGTTGTTGCATGTGTTGGTAGCTTTTTTATTCCCCAATAGTAGTCTGTTGTATGAATATATTTTAATTTGTTTATCCACCTGTTGATGGACATTTAAATTGTTTCCATTTGGGGGCTATTATCAATAAAGCAGCTGTGAACATTCATGCACAAGTCTTTTTGTGAACATGTGTTTTCACTTCTCTTGGGCAAATGCCTAGGAGTAGAATTACTGGTTGTATGTTAACTGTGTGTTTAACTTTATGTGAAGTTGCCAAGTCACTTTCCAAAGTGGTTGTACCAATTTACACTCCCACTAGCAATTTATGAAGTTCCAGATTCTTGCTAGAACTTGATATTGTCAGTCTTTTAAATATTACCCATTTTACAAGGTGTGTGCACTGTGGTTTTAATTTGCATTTATCTGATGACTTAAGTATTGAGCTTCTTTTCATGTGCTTATTGGCCATTTACATATTTCCTTTTATGAAGTGTCTGAACAAATATTTTGTCCATTTTAAAAATTGGATTCTGTTGTCTGATTGAGTTGTAAGAGTTCTTTTTTCTTTTTTCAATGTTTTTTATTGATTTGAGAGAGAGGGGAAGGGAGAAGGGGAGCCCGTATGTTCCCTGACTGGGAATCAAACTGGCAACCTCTTGGTGCATGAGTTGATGCTCAACCACTGAGCCACACCAGCTGGGCGTAAAAGAGTTCTTTATATATTCTGGCTACCAGTCTCTTTTCAGATATGTGTATTGTGACTATTTCCTCCCTGTTGCGGTTTGCCTTTTCATTTTCTTTAGACCCCAGAGGTCTCAGTGGGCACCCCGCACAGCTGAGATATCCCTCCAGAACTTCAGCTGCTGTCTGGGAAGCCCAGCCAGCCTTTTGCACCTCCGCACTGCCTACCAGTCTCTATGTGGTCTCCACTTTCCATCCTCGGTTATCAGGGTTCTCTCCAGCTAGTCTTCAGTTGATTATTCAGGATGGTTTTTCTGTATTTTAGTTGTAATTCCAGTTTGATCCTGGGAGCATGTCAGTGTAGCTTCTACTTACTCTGCCGCCATTTTGGAATCTGTGGGACAAGTCAGTTTTGATGGGAAAGAGAAGAGTGGCTGAATAAGTCTGTTCTAATTACAGTTTTAATCTCTTCCAGAAATGTAATCTTAACTTGTCGGGGATTTTCTGTTTTCATTTTATTAATGATGCCTTTTGAAGAACATAAGTTTTTAATTTTGATGAAGTCCAGTTTATCAATTTTGTTTTTTATCATTAATGCTTTTTTGTGTGTCCCAAGAAATCTTTGCCTACCCATTGAATTATCTCGGTGTCTTTTTCAAAATCAATTGAGCATATATCTGTGCATCTTAGTGATCTATTTATGTTACTGATTTGTATGTCGATTCTTACACCAGTGCAACACTGTCTTGATTGTGACTTTAGAGTGTCTTGAAATTAAGTATTGTAAGTTGCATTATTTTCCAAGATTGTTTTGGTTATCAGTTCCTTTACCATTTAAATTTTATAGTTAGCTATAAATTTTTCTCTTAAAAAAAGCCTTTTGGAATTGTGATGGGGAATTGCATTGTAGAATGGACAAACAATATTGAATCTTCCAATCCATGGACATGATATAGTGCACCATTTGTTTGGGTCTTTTAAAATATATCTTAACAATTTTCTAATATATTTTTATTGATTTCAGAGAGGAAAGGAGAGGAAGAGAGAGATATAGAAACATCAATGATGAGAGAGAATCATTGATCGGCTGCCTCCTGCACGCCCCCAACCGGGGATCGAGCCCACAACCTAGGCATGTGCCCTTGACCGGATCGAACCCAGGACCCTTCAGTCCACAGGCCGGCTCTCTATCCACTGAGCCAAACCAGCCAGGGATAGAGATAGAGATAGAGATAGAGATAAGAAAAATCAATGATGAGAGAGAATTATTGATCAGCTGCCTCCTGCACGTCTCACACCAGGGATCAAGCCCACAAACTGGACATGTGCCCTAACCAGGAATCAAACCATGACCTTCTGGTTCATAGATCGAAGTCAACCACTGAGCCATGCCAGCCGGGCAGCAATTATTTTTAATGAAGAAGACTTGCACATCTTTTGTTAAATGTATTTATAAATATTTTTTGATTTTATGCTATTTTAAAATTTCATTTTCAGGTTTGTGGCTAGTATATAGAGATGCAATTTATTTTTGTACATTGATTTTATATCTTGCAATCTTGTTAAATTCAAGTATTAGTTCAGTAGTTATTTTTGGTGGGTTTTTTTGTAAATACCTTAAGGATTTCCTATGTATATAATTATGTGTGAATAAAGACAGTTCTTCCTTTCCAATCTTTATGTCTTTTATTTATTCTTCTTGACTTTTTGTACTAGCTGGGGCCTTCAATCTAGTGTTGAATAGAAGTTATGTGAGTAAATATCCTTGTCTTGTTTCTAACATCAGAGGACAGTATCTAATGTTTCACCTTTAAAATTTGATGTTAGCTATAGGTTTTTCATGGGTTCTTTTCATTATATTGAATAGGTTCCCTTTTATATCTAGTTTGTTGGAAGGTAGCATGAACGTGTTTTGAATTTTGTCAAATACTTCTTTCTGCATCTATTGAGATGCTCATGATTTTCCCCCTTAATTTGTTGATGTGATTTGTTCTAGCTATTGAATTGTTTTATGTTAAACTATCTTTGCATTTCTGATATAAACCCTGCTTGGTCATGATGTTTTATCCTTTTTATATGGTGCTGGATTCAATTTGTTAATAATTTTGTTTCGTTTTTACATCTATGCCCATGAGAAAGATTGGTCTGTGATTTTCCTTTCTGGTTTTGGTGTCAGGTCTTGATTAATTTCAGTGCATTTACAAGCACATACATTTCCAACATAAAAATACACTATACACAGTGTTTTGTATTTGTATTTTGCTTTTTTATGGTCATTCCATATTTAACATATTGATCTAGTTCTTTTCTTCTTAATAGCTAGTTGGTATTCCATAGTATGGTTACGCCAAAAAGTATTAAAACAAACCCCTATTAAAGGACATTTAGATTGTTTCTAATCTTTTTTAAAATATATTTTTATTGATTTCAGAGAGGAAAGGAGAGATAGAAACATCAATGATGAGAGAGAATCATTGGTTGGCTGCCTCCTGCACACCCACTACTGAGGATCAAGCTTGCAACCCAGGCATGTGCCCTTAAACCGGAATTGAACCCAGGACTCTTCATTCCACAGGCCAACATTCTATCCACTGAACCAAACCCGCTAGGGCTATTTGTAATCTTTCACTGTTGATTTTCCTGTTTATTATGCATGCTCATTGTAGAAAACAGTAATACTTAACACTTGGAGTGCGGGTGAATTTCCCGCCAAAATATAAGATGGCTCTGTCTTTTGGTTTTGTTCCATCCACCAAAAGGGTGGATTACAAACAAATATTTGGTAATACGCAGTTACAATCGGCCCGAGTTTACACGTTTCCCGCACTCCACCGCAAATCTATATGAACCGAGTTAAAGACGGCTCCCTCGGAGTACGCGCAATTCACGCGAGCCGCAATTCACGCGAGCCGACTTAACTCGTTTCCCGCACTCCAAGTGTTAAAAGTATATATAAAACTGAAATCACTCATATAGTCCTAAAGCTCTGAGATAATTAGTGTTAAAATATGTTTTAAGCCTAATTGAGAATATACGGCTATAATCCAAGTGTCAAGTTGTCTAACCTTGTAGGGTCACCTTTTCTTTCATGTTGAAATAACCTGAATCCCCATTCATATAACATGCAAGTACTGTAGGAAGTCCAGCACCCTCTCCAGTATTTTTGGAAGATTCTTGGAGTGGGGCTGGGGTGCTGGACACATATATGTACACATGCGTTGTTTATGAGTACATAACAGTTTAGCTTCTTTTTCCTTGATTTCCCATTCTTGACTCTGCTTTGGGGGCTTTTCAGAAACAAAGGGCCCTTTAAAATGTGTTTTTAAAGAAAAGTTCAATTCCTCCCCTTTTGCAATAAGGCAGAGTGACTACAATTAGAACATTTTAAAGCCCCATTTCCCTTCCTATACAAAGTAAACTCTGAGAAGAGTATTTATTCTATACCTAGGGGTCAACACAGCAGAAGGGGTAAGAGTGTCGGTTCTGGGGGCCTGGGTGTGAATGCCAGTTCTTCTGCCTCCTTGCTGTGTGACCCCAGCCATGCTTGCTTACCGTGCTGCACTTCAGTGGCCTCCTCTGTAAGATGAGGATCACAATAGCATCTGTATCACAGGGTTGTGGTAAGCATAAAATAGTCAATACCCAGGGAATGTTTCCCCAAAGTGCTCAGCACACAAAAGCAGCCCTTAATAAATGAGAGGCACAAAGGTGGGTAAGAGCTCAGGTTCTGCAGTTCTGTGGTCTTGAGCATGTCACATAATTTCTCCTATAAAATGGGGGTGATGATAGTACCCACCTCTTAAGGTGGTTATGAGGATTAAATGAGTTCATATTTGAAAAGCACTTAGAGCAGTGGTTCTCAACCTTCCTAATGCCGCGACCCTTTAATACAGTTCCTCATGTTGTGGTGACCCCAACCATAAAATTATTTTTGTTGCTACTTCATAACTGTAATTTTGCTACTGTTATGAATCGTAATGTAAATATCTGAGATGCAGACTGTATTTTTATTGTTACAAATTGAACATAATTAAAGCATAGTGATTAATCACAAAAACAATATGTAATTATATATGTGTTTTCCGATGGTCTTAGGCGATCCCTGTGAAAGGGTCGTTCGACCCCCAAAGGGGTCTCGACCAACAGGTTGAGAACTGACTTAGAGCATCCAACTTATAGTTAAGGTTACGTAAGCCCTTATTAAGTAAATTACTCTGTAAATGTATATATATTCCACCAAGCTCTGTTTCTACTCTGTCCTCCTCTACCCCACTGCACTTTTTCACTGATCATCAATGTTGACAGCCTGGTTCTGCTGGCCCCCCACTCCCCAGATTCTATCTAGCAAGCTGCCTCAGCGGGGCCAGTCTAACAGAGGTTTCCATGGATTCCTGCCTGAAGACATCAAAAAGGAGGCAGCCCGGGCTTCTAGGAAGGTTAGAATCCCCTGAAATGAGGGCCTTGGGCGAGGCCTCTTTTTATACCTCCCTGATCATCCCTGCCTCGGTTCTTTTCCCCTAGTTGCTAATTTAGAAGTCAAAGGACTCCTGGATTTCCCAACTGGTCCTTCTCTTAAGTTCCATGCTTCTCTGGGGCATAGTATCCAAGTGAGGAGAGGGAGCCACATCCTGGGAAAACAAAATAATTCAGTGCTGCTTGAAGCTCCAGAGCTTTCAGGTCCACTGAGGAAAGGGAATGCTCGTTGCTTCACAGAATTTCCATTCCAAAGAATGACATTCCACAGAATGTCTGTTTGTCTTTCTTGGGATCCTGAGCACTGCCTGGGATCTCATTTGCAGATCTGCTTTGTGTGCAAGAAAAAGGGAGCTGCCATCAACTGCCAGAAGGATCATTGCGTCAGAAACTTCCATCTCCCTTGTGGCCAAGAAAGGGGTTGCCTTTCACAATTTTTTGGAGAGTACAAGTGAGTGATGAAGGGGAAAAGTCGGGTTGCCCTTTTGCAACTTGCTTTTAATTAGCCACTAGTCAAATCAGAGTCTAGTTCTCACGGGCCTGTTTTGATTCACCAGGGAATCTGTCCCTCCATTCAATGAGAAACAGTGTCTTGACTTGGCAATTTCACAGGGGTTACTTCTTCCTTCCGTCCCCTTCTTAAATTACAAACAGCTGAGGTTCTTAGACAGCTGCTCAGAAGGAAGTGGGGTTTTCAGGAATGAGAGGGGCTGTAGAGATAGTCCCGGGAGTTTTGCTCAGTGGGAGACCAGCTGTGAGAAGGCTGTTCTTCACCCTCCTTCTCCTCCTCTCCATCCCCTCCCCTCTGAGCACGGAGGAGGTTCTCTGGGCACCAGCCTGGGAAGTTGATTGCCCTCCCTAAGTCAGGCAGCTGGAAAACTCCATCAAGATAAATCAAAACCAAGTTTATTTACTCTGCCACAGATCATTTTGTGAAAAACATCGCCCAACACAGGACATCCACCGGGGGAATGTGGGAGAGGAAAGCTGCGTCTTGTGTTGTGAAGAATTATCCCAAGCAAGTGTTGAAAACATCCAGAGTCCATGCTGTAGTCAAACTATCTACCACCGCAAGTGCATACAGGTGGGGCTTTCTCTGCCCAGAGGACCTTCCACAATTGTCCTAGTTCAGAGCCCCTTGGGAATGCTCAGGCAATCTCAACAGGAGGCCTGTCTGCAGGGCTGGTTCCAGGAAGTCGGAGGAAAGTCAGCCCAGTCTCTGGTCACCCTTGACCTATAGGATCTCCTTCATGATAAGATTTAGACTGAGCAAAAAATCCTTAGGATGACTAGAGCATGGTAGAATGAGTTAAGTAGCCTCCAAATCAGCTTGCTTCCTCGGATGGAAGGAAAGAGAAACATATTCAGGTACCCGAGCCCTACTGGGTTAGCACTGCCAAGCCTCATGGCCACAGATGACAGCTAAGGCACTCCTGGGAACTTTCTTAAGCTTTTGGTCCCTGGTCTAGCACTGTAATATGCAGCCCTCCACCCTAACCCACCCAAATTCCTTTTCCTGTAAGCCCCAGTCAGGCTTTCTTAGCAACATTCTCTTTGTGAGATGAGGATGAAGGTGGAAATAAGGTCATCAAAGATAGAGTTTTTACAAACACAAAGTTTTTCCATGTTTCTCTTACAGAAATATGCCCACACATCAGCAAAGCATTTCTTCAAATGTCCACAATGCAACAATAGAGAAGAGTTTCCTCAAGAAATGCTAAGAATGGGAATTCACATTCCAGACAGGTAGTGGAAACTCTAAAGCAGGAATTGAGCCAGGGACTGGGTTGCCTAGATTTCTAGAGAGGAGGTGAGCGTGAGGATAGTTTGGAGAATGAAGAAGCAGCCAAGGCATTGTTACATGGTCAAGAGGAAATGGGTAGAGGGAGAGCGTTTCAATTATCAAAAGGAAAGGGGGAGGATTGAGAGTTGGGGGATAGGCATGTTTCTGAAAAGGGTGCTTTGGGGATCAGAATTCCCTGGGTGAGGGGTACGTTCTCCAATTCCAGTGTGAAACTAAGGAACCCCCATGTTCCATTCATTTGGCTTCAACCCTCTCCCACTGTGAGGCCACCTTCCCAACCTTGCTGAAATTATTCAGGCGGCCTGTTGAACTCCTTTGCTGTGCTAGTTTGAGTTCTTTCTAGTTCTTCCCAGGAGGACAGTGGTTTCACCAACCAATAATGTGTCCCTTACTGTTTCTTCTCCCACTGCAGAGATGCTGCCTGGGAACTCGAACCAGGGGCTTTCTCAGAGTTGTATCAGCGCTATCAGCATTGTGATGCCCCCATCTGTCTGTATGAACAAGGCAGAGACAACTTTGAGGACGAAGGGTAGGGAAAGGCTTCTGGCTAGAAAGATCTCTCATCAGTGCCATCTTAGAGTTAGACCTTGGCACAGTTATTAAGAGCAAAGAATTCACTTTTGTCTGCAGAGCACAGGGCAAACACATCGCAGCCCGGGACTCATTCACGTGAACAGGTCCCTCTGCAGGTCTGCTTCTCCTTGAGCCCAGTGGAGAGATACTCAGGGCCCATTCCTTTTCAAATCCGCCTTTCGAGTGTCTGTGCCTAACTGCAAGGTCCTGAGATCAGCACACAGCCACACATTCATCATGGGTAAAATGTACAGCAAACGATGCCTGGGAAGCCCTCAGCAAAGGCCTACCTTATAGTGACATCCCGAAGCGGTAGTTAGTGTTATATTTGTGCCCACAACCCTTCCTTGTCTTCCTGTAGGAGGTGGAGCCTTGTTCTATGTGCTACATGTGGATCCCGTGGTACCCATAGGGACTGCTCCTCTCTTAGATCCAACAGTAAGAAATGGGAGTGTGAGGAGTGTGCACCTTCGCCTAAAGTCACAGGTGGGACTGAGGGATGGTCTGGTCTAAGGACTGGGGTGGGATGGGGTTGGGGGACTTGTGCCTAAGAAAGGAGGAGGGCATGCCACCAGATGGGGACTCCATGGTGCCTTTAGTTTGGGAAAGAAAGTGTCTATGGAAGGGCTTAAGGACCTGCACTTGGGAGAGAGAGGGCTGAGTTTTCCTCTCCCACCTTTCTTTCACCACAGACTACATATCTGAAAACTCAGGTGACATCCCCTGCTGCAGCATCTTCTACTCTGGGGGGGCATGACTGCAGAGACACCAGCCTGGAAGAGAATTCGGGCCCTTCTTGGACTGATTGGCCAGAACCTTCTTTATTAGAAAAACCAGAATCCTCTGGTGGCAGGAGGGGCCACTCCTGGTGGTCCAAGGGTGTCAAAATCACTAAAAGCTGCAACAAATACAAGTAACAGCTTCTAAGTAGTTGCTGCCAAGCACATTTGGTGACAAAGTTGTGCTCCTCCACCAAGTTTGGGAAGGGAGCCCTTTGGGACTGTAAGACCAGGAAAGGGGGGCCCCAGCAGTGAGACTATGAACAAGGAAAGAGAAGTCCCAGAGAGTGAGAACAGAGCAGTCCAGATGCCAACCGCAGAACATGTCTATGGCTATGGTAGCTAGCACCTCTGCTCTTTCTGTCTGATTCCCAGAGGGCCCTTTCTTCTCTTCTTCCACCAAGATTGTTCCACCCTCATCTGGTGCTCATATGCCTCTCTTACTTCACCCAGGTTTGTTATGCAAATAAAGACTTTCTCTCCATTGGTGTCTCCTTATAAATTCACTCTGGATTTTATCTAGCACAGTAAGGAATCTGGAGGGTAGAATGAGGGAATAGGAAAACTAAAATTCAAAGACTTAAATGTAGAATTTTCAATTTAGAACATAGACACATTGCTTTGGAGGGAAGTATTTTGCAGGGAAATCGACTTTATAGAGGCAGATGTCATCGTTGTGCAAATAAACACACAGGTTCTCATTAGGGAGGTGAGCCAGCAAAGGAGTCCACACTGGACTGAGAATAGGCCACTACTACAAGGCCTGGGGCCCTGGACTCAAACAGGCCAGGGACTGCCGTGCTCATGTGGGGCAGAAGGGACTCCACTAACCTCCACAGCATGAGTGAAGACACACCTCCACACACACCCTCTCAGCCTGGTGGCTCGGGCATTTCCGGCAGGTAGGAAGCCAGGCCAAGACAGTTACATTAAGCAGGCAGCTAGGATGAGAATCTGGCTGAAGGTCTTGGGAGAAATTGAATAGAACCTATCTCAGGTTTGTTTGTTTATGATGATTTTGTGTGATTTGGATTAGTAGGGCGAACTCAGGACCAGCACTAGATAGTGAGTTCTAGGGGGCTCACTGGGTCATTGTCACTAACGGCAGAGGATGGGGGTTTTGGTTCAAATATTGCTGTTCCTGGAGATTTATATCGAGTTGTGCATGGTGCTCGCCTTCAGATTTGAACAGTTTCACTTGGAATCACACGACAGTGGTGGGGGATTGTAATTTGTGTCTTTTGTTATTTAAGTATATAAACTAATATAGACTTAAAAATCTTAAAGAAGTACAAAAAGGATTATAATGAAAAATAGTCTATTGACTCACCCTTCCTACTCTTAGTCCTCCCTAAAGGCAACAACTTTCCACTTCTTTTAGCCACTTCTTTCTTTAGGAATCTTAGACATTATTGACTTCCTATTATGTTACATAAATTTCTAGCACCTTTAAACCTTCCCCTTTTCATTCTATTTTATAATTGCATCACCATTTTTAAGCCAGGCAATATACCATGATTGTTTTTCCTCTCCTGTACATTTTTTAGTGAAATAAATACCTGCCTTTTTATAAAATATATTTTTATTGATTTCATAGAGGAAGGGGAGGGGGAGAGAGAGACATTAATGATGAGAGAGAATCATTGATCGGCTGCCTCCTGCACGCCCCCAACTGGGGATCGAGCCCACAACCAGGCATGTGCCCTTGACCGGAATCGAACCTGGGACCCTTCAGTCCACAGGCCAATGCTCTATCCACTGAGCAAAACCAGCTAGGGCACCTGCCTATATTTTATTTGCTATATACCCATGGGTAATTCTTCCCAAATGTTCCACATGATCAATTACTTCAAAATACAATTTTCCGCCGAAACCGGTTTGGCTCAGTGGATAGAGCGTCGGCCTGCGGACTGAAAGATCCCAGGTTCGATTCCAGTCAAGGGCATGTACCTGGGTTGCGGGCACATCCCCAGTGGGAGATGTGCAGGAGGCAGCTGATCGATGTTTCTCTCTCATCGATGTTTCTAACTCTCTATCTCTCTCCCTTCCTCTCTGTAAAAAATCAATAAAATATATTTTTAAAAAAATATAATTTTCCTCATAGTCCAAACATCAGATCACTTCAGTTGCACTTCTTTTCTGGAAGATCTGCCTCTGAGAACCTACTCCTCCTGAGCTGCTGCTTCCTGGGCCTGCCACACAACTATCAACCTAGGCCTCCCCATGACTATGCCCTCTTTCTCCATTTTCTCTCCCATGAGTTCAAGGACTCCGTGCTATAATTCCTACCCTAGATGTCCAAGGACTCTGTGTCAAAGCTCTGCAAGTGATGAGGTTTTTTAATGTGGACTTTTATTTCACAAACAGTATTTTGCTTGTCTTGAAGAATCAACTCTTGCAGTGATGATTCACAACTGAAAAGACACTTTTAAGATTAAGACTTTAGTTTCTTAATCTAGAATTTCTCCAGGCATATTCTCAGACATCCCGGGGTAGTATCTTTTCCTTTAAAAAGAGTTAATTTGTATACTAAAGTGTGAGAAACATCTTAACTGAAAGTAATGGTCTTCTAACAGTGCCCTCTGGACTCCAGCTGCAGGGGGTGGGAGGTGGAGCTTATGGCAGGGGTAGTAGGGATAAGTGGTGCTTTTTGTCACCCAGACATTCAGCTACCCAATCTCCATGTGCAGTTGGTACACATACACACACACACATGCACCTCACACCCATTAACTATTTCCTACACCTTTATTCTACATTGATGTGAATAACCAACCTCATTGTTATAGGCTATTCTTCACCTGGGCCTAATTATAAACAGTCATTCTCTACTAATAATTGGGCTTTTTTTCTTAAATAAACTTTTAATTTGGGATCGTTTTAGATTTACATAAAATTTGTGAAAGTAGTAGAGGGGATCCCCATTTATCCCAAACCCAGTTTCCCCTATTAGTAACATCTTACATTAGTGTAATACATTTATCACAATTAATGAACCAATGTCCATACATTGTTATTAACTAAAGCCCATACTTCAATCAGATTTCCTTAGTTTTTACCTAATGTCTTTTTTCTGTTCTAGGATCCCATCCTGGATACCACATAGAGTTGAGTCATCATGTCTCCTTAGGTTCCTCTTGGCTGTAACAGTTTGTCAGATTTTCCTTGGTTTTGATGACCTTGACAGTTTTGAGGAGTACTGGTCAGGTATTTTATAGAGTGCCTATCAATCTGGATTTCTCTGATGTTTTTCTTATGATTAGACTAGGGCTATGGGATTGGGGAGGAAGACAGACAGTTAAAGTGCCTTTGTCATCCCGTCATATTGAAGTTACATACTATATCAACATGACTTCTCACTGTTGATGTTGATCTTGATCATCTGGCCAAAGTACTGTTTGTCAGATTTCTCCACCGTAACGTTACTCCTTGTCCCCCCTTTCCATACTGTACCTTTTGGAAGGAAGTTACGCTATGTAGCCTACAATGAATGAATGGGGACTTATTCCCTCTCCTTCCTTGAGGGGAGAGTATCTACATAAATTATTTGGAATTCTTCTGCACAGGAGGTTTTCCTGTTCCCTCCCAGTTATTTATTTTGTTAATCATTTGTATCAGTATGGACTTGTGGATATGTATAGTATACTTTGGGTTATAATTCAATACTACTTTATTTTGTTGCTCAAATTGTTCTAGCTTTGGCCATTGGGAGCTCCTATGTCCTTTATACATATCCTTATTAGTGTGTGTTTGTGTTGTTTTTGAGGGCCTCTTTACTTTTTTGGCACTTCAAGATGCCCAGGCTCATCTTGTATATTTTAAATACCTATTTTCACAAATAATGTGCCTATTAGAATTAACTACTGTTTTATTTTATAGCATAGGACCTAGAACAGATAGTTCACTTATGAAGGATTGAAATAGATATTAATAAAATTTTTCCAAAGTATCTGCTCTCCTTCCTCTAATTCTTACCTTTGTAAGAACCATAAACTAGGGCCAGAAACCTCAGAATCTCCTTCTGCTTCCTTTTATGCTCAACCACCCTCTTTCTTGTCAATTTGACTGTTTTCAAATGTTTGCCTTCCTTTTCATCCCATCGCCAGTGCTCAGTTCAGACCCCTGGGCCTCCCAAGACTGCAGCAAAAGCCTTTTCTCTGCATGGTTTCCTAGGTCCACTCACTTTGCTGACACATCCACCCCTTTCCCTTCTGCAAATTATCATAAGACATCTGTTAGCTCTTTACTTAGGATGGCCCCCACTGAGATTGGCATCCGAGGCCTTCCACGAGTATGGTTCCATTCAGCTGCATCTCCCAGGATGCCTCACTCCGGGCACTCTGCCCTGACTACCCTGACATACTGGGCCCTCACCATGGGATTCACAGTCCAAAGGGCCCTAACCTCTATCCTCAGCCTGTTGGACCCAGCACAAGGTCCAGTTCTTCCTCCCTAGGTGCTCTCACTGGATTCCACTTATACCCCTATTGTAGCCCACGTCATTCTCCATCTGGTCTACAGTTGTAGATCTGTCTCTCCCACTAGATTGGAAGCCCCTTATGGGCAGGGGCCTGTCTGTCTTATTAACCTTTATTCCCCTCGTGGTGTCTGGCTCGGGATTCCACAGTCAGAGGCAGTTCAATATCCACTGAACTGATGGATATGCTCATACCCTGTATATTCACATGCCTTGTTTTGCTCTCAAACACCAGAGGGCACTGTTAGCATGTTGTGGAGGAAGACCATAACCCTTTAGACCTAGAAGGTTGAGAGTGCTAGAGAAAAGCTTGCTTCTATTTTTGGATGCACAGGATTTACTGCTCTTCACTTGTTTGAATCACAACCCTTTGAGTTTATTCATGAATTGTCCTCCTGTTGTGTTTAGAGATTATTATGAGAGTTAGTAATGACACTTCCATCACAGGTCAAATCCTCAGGCAGGATTGCCTTCATGGTCTCTCCAGACCCACAGTAGCCCTTCTAACCCAGCTGCCCTCCTTTCATCCCCAAGATGGGGACTGCCAGTCCCGAGGGGTATGCGGTGATATAGATCTGTCCCTCTTCTGCCCAGCCCTCCCACCACACGTGCATTGGCACCGTGGCCTGTGGGTGGTGGTTTATAAGCTCTAATGACCTTTGGGCAAGGTGGGAGATTGTTAAGAAAAAGAGCACCTACATTGGCCCGGACCCCAGGGCCACTGCATTAGCTCCCTATGTATCCCAGGCTGGCTGAAGGTGAGTTGCAGCATCATGGGGGCCCCCAGTTCTGAGAAGGCTCCATCATGACTAAGCCAGGGTGCCCCATTCCAGAGAAGTTGGCTATTTGCAAAGGTCTCATACCTTGTACATTTTGCCCCCAAAAAGCAACATGGAAATTAGAGGCCATAAAACAAAGAGTTGATGTTTTTCAGAAAACAAACAAAAAAATTGTCTTCCCTTCTCCCTAGCAAACCCCTCCAGCCCTGGGGTCCCTGAGCAATGGGA